GAAAAAATGGTGTAATAAATCCTAAAAAATACAGGCAGAAACTTACCCACCCTGCCATACCATCAGGGAGGCGTGTGATTGTCCCCAAATTTATTCTACAGCAGGATGACGACCCCAAACATTAAGAACTATCTTCAGCGTAAAGAACAACAAGGAGTCCTGGAAGTGATGGTTTGGCCCCCACAGAGCCCTGATCTCAACATCATCGAGTCTGTCTGGGATTACATGAAGAGACAGAAGGATTTGAGGCAGCCTACGTCTACAGGAGATCTGTGCTTAGTTCTCCAAGATGTCTGGAACAGCCTACCTGCCGAACTCCTTCAAAAACTGTGTGCAAGTGTACCAAGATGCTGTTTTGAAGGCAAAGGGTGGTCACACTAAATTTTGATTTGATTTGGATTTCTCTTCTGTTCGCTCACTTTGCATTTTGCAAATTGATAAATATAAACAATTACAATATATATTTTTGAAAGCATTCTTACTTTACAGCATTTTTTCACACACTTTGCATTTTGCAAATTGATAAATATAAACAATTACAATATATATTTTTGAAAGCATTCTTACTTTACAGCATTTTTTCACACACTTTGCATTTTGCAAATTGATAAATATAAACAATTACAATATATATTTTTGAAAGCATTCTTACTTTACAGCATTTTTTCACACCTGCCTAAAACTTTTGCACAGTACTGTACATGATACCCTGAGCTACCCTCTTTACCCATCAAGGATAGCAAGTAACCATGGGATCTCTTTCCTCCCTTTCCTTTCTTTTCTGAAAGTCAGATGATGGCTGGAAAAGACAAGTCCCTTTTCTTCCAGAATTCCTCTGAATCTGGTGCTTTCTTTTCCACATGCTCAGCGACAGCCTGAGGCAAAACACTCAACAAAACCACCAGGGGTGGAATCTGGAGGCACAGAGGGAGCCAAAATGTCTCCCCTGGAGTCCTTTGCTTATATCTTCAAGCACAGCTTTCGAAGAGGAAGTCTGCACATTTCAATATTCATTGTGCACCACTCCCATTCTTTTGTTCTCCTTGGAATGGAATGTAAAAATGAAATATCAAGCACACATTTTGAATATTTAATTATTTATAACTTTAAACAACCTGTAGGTATTAAATAACCTCATTGACACCATCATTCAGAGATGAGAACTTAAAACATGTGCCAGCCTTTTCAATGTAATTTAAAGGCTGTGTCAACCCTCCAACTGCAGGCAGTTCCTGTGTATCTCCAGAGCAACCACAGAAATTTGAGAACCATCAATTTCCACCATTTGAGTTCAGAATGGACGCACAAAGTCATGAGGCTTCACATACCAATTTTGACCCTGAAAATTCAAAACCTTACAAAAGGATCAAAAATGTTAAGTCCTGCCCACCTGATGACATCACTGCATTTACAGGACATCCTCTGCAGCCTTCCAAGATCAAAAAGGATCATAATTTGATGTGGTACCCAGTCACTTTCAGACTACCTGCCTCTGCTTCTTAATCACAAGTACCTTTAATGAATTAAAACTAATCCAATGTTTCTATAAGCTTTTAGATTGTTTTTATTGTTCATGATTGCCCAATTTTAAGAAGAAGGACATAAAACAAGCTGGAAACATCCAGAAAGATTCATTTCCTTGTTCCTCACTGGCTGCTCAAGATAAATAGAGGCATGACTGGACTGGAAGACCTCAGCAGCGCCAGCTCTCTCTTTCCCGGGACCAGAGGCATGGGTGTTTAGGCACTTGTTGCAGCTCTTGAGATCATTAGCTACAACTGAAGGACAGACATTTATAATGTACTCCCTCTTTTCTACATTAAATACACTCTTACTATCCAGCCCTGCCCTTTAGCTCTGAACAAATTACTTTAAAAAGGACTGATCTGTTTGGGACTAGGCAATCTCACTTCAAGAATACAAAACCATGTATCATTCAGAATATGTATATATTTGCAAATAATAGGATCATGATGAAATCAATATATAATTATCCATGAAAAAAATGTTAAGATGAATACATAAAGTTAACTTGAAAACATTACCTCTTGGTTTTGGCTGACAGCATCGCTTGAGAGTGAAGACTATGTTATCTGTTCTTAGGATCTGCCCTTTTAAATGGTCCATCAACTCTTTAAGTGATGGAAAGAATTTATCAGATCCATGCAAGAGACATCCATCCTTCTTCATTTCTATCTGGAAGTTCTTATACTGTTTGGGATGATTCGTCGAGTGCTTTGGAGAATGAAGGAAAAGAAAGATAAAAGAAATCACTAAGTGAATTCAGGTAAAATGTAGATCTATGTTCATGCCTGAAGAGAGTACACAGAATGAAATGAAATCCCACTTGAGACTGATCTAGCCAGCATTTCAGTTCCATCTGGTGGCACCATACTGGAAACCTTGAAAAGACTAAAAAATGTGTTAAGGCAGCTGTCTGGGTCAAGAAAGACATAGTTGCTTTAATGTGTTCCCAACAAGTACTATGTGCATGTCTCTGTTTGCCTCAAATCACATTTTGCCCTTTGTACATGTCTGTTTGCCTCGAATCCAGATAGTTACACAACTGTAACATTTTCTATAATCAAAAACCAAGTCCATCAATAGTTTTAATATACACCTCTATAAATTAAGAATCACATGGATGTCAGGGAATTTATGATTTATTAGTGGGCTGAATCTTCAGTTGGTTCAAAACAGACCAGCTGCACTGTTCACTGGGACTTGCTGATACAAACGTATTATGTCAGTTCTTTGCTATTACACTGGTTGCTAGTCTTGACTTTTAAAGCCTTAAATGGCTTAGGTAACTAGGTTTCCTGAAGGAGTACTTTCTCCTTTATGTACCTATCTGGATCTTACAATCATCTAATGAGGCCCTTCTCCAGATCCCCTCACCAAAAGAGGCGAGGTGGGCCTCTACAGGGAGGGAGCTTTTTCTGTGGCAGCCGCCCATTTATGGCATTCCCTCCCTGGAGAAGCCTCTCTGATGCCTCCATTAGCATCATTTCAGCACCAGGTGAAGACCTTTCTATTTTCCCAGGCTTTTAAACTGGCTTTTAATTGCATCTTAATTCCTATTATTTTAGTTTTTGAATGAGTGCCTTGCAGCTCCTTAATTTGTATGGTATTTCTATTTTGCATTTTATTTAATTTTATTGTATGTTTTTCCCAAACTGTATTTTTAGTGTATTTTATTGCAACCGGACCAGATAGCTTTATTCAAATAAATAAATAGTTACCAAACCTGCAATTAATATATTGGCAACATATGCTTGCACTCCAGTAAGAACCTATTAGATCCAAAACAAGACTAGGATTGGCAATCCCTGTCAGTATTTATATCCAAAGAGAAAAATAGATTACGGAGCTTAGAATCTGCTTAAATTTTCTAGTTACAGCCGTAGAAACTTACAGGAAGCTCAGTAACTCCATGTTTGGTAAGAAGGAAATTTCACAATCATTCTGGATATCCATAAACACAATTTTTGGAATCATTAATGGTGAGATTATCACTTCTCAACCCAATTCCTCAAAAGTTATATTCCCCAGATCAAAGGCCTTTAAAGAGAAAATTACTGGACCTCCATCATACCTGTGAGTATTCAATACATATCACAGTCAAGAGAATGTTGTTGAAGTCTGTACAGCTCCATCTCAATACGTATGTCCCTTCTTCATTGCCTTCCTGTTTCAGCTTATTAATAGCATATTCTGTGCTAAAAGAGGTTTGAGAAAAATAAGTGATTAAAGCTTAGTAATTGTGGACAACTGACCATTCCCTCAAAAGCATGCTTGTTTTTAAACTGTTCTTTGTTGTTAGATATATAATGGTAGGAGACATAATATATTTGGAATTCTGAGAACTCATTACAAGTTACAAAAAGGCTTTTCTCTGACCAAGTGAGAACAGAGAAGTTCAGTTTTCATGAACCCAAAAGTTGGGAGTGTCAAAAGAGGGAAGCTAAAATAAAAATAAACTAATAAAATATATTTTTAAAAAGGCAAATATTTTACAATCTATAATGACTGTTCACAAAAAATACTGTTTTAAGGTCAGTTTCTGAAGGGAAATAGCTGTTTGACAAAAGGACAATTTGGGCCTTAGTTTCTAATTGAACACAATTGTGCTTCTTAAAAAAACACATAATGCCTGCTTCAGAAGCTTCATAATATTGTTATACTAACCAGTTGAATTGATTAGACACAGGGTATCATACTGTATCAGAAGATCTAGATTTTAGAAATTATTTCATTGTTGAAGCTTATCAGCTTCTTTTAATTATACTTCCAGTCATGTTGCTTAATGAAGTTCAACAGTTCAGTTTAAATTAATCTGCAACATTTGTTAAAGAAAGCATACAGGTTTATATCAAGATGACTCTCTTTAAAAAGTAGAGCGTACAAAAGATATTAACTAACCAAATTGGACCATGGCAGCCATTTTTAATGTTATGTTCTATCAGAGGTGGTGCAATATCTGTGCAAAGAAAGTGGTGGGCATCTGCAGTCAACCTGAAGTATCCATCTACCAAAGCAGAAAACGACAAAGCTTCTTCATGTGAAGATAGTTTAAATTCCTGGAGTATAAAAATAATGTTTTAAAGAATTATTCCACTTCAGGTTCACAATAGTCACAATAGACCTACAGGGATGGTCAAAAACATTTGGCTGCTGAAGCAAAGAGGAAAGTGTGCTCTATCCCAGTACACAGATTAACCAGAATAGCACTTAAATCTATACCAGGCTTGACAATGAGATATTCTAAAGACAATAGACTAGGTTTTCTGACATAAAAAATGTTCTAAAAAATGAGAATGGCTGGGGGCCATTCTGTCTCAGGGGCTTGGAAATGCTGCTTCTTAGTGTCTGCTGTCTGACATTTGCCTACTTTGCCTAGCTCTGTCCACTTCCTAAAAGTTTACCAAGGATTTAAATTCAATTCAGTAAAATGTACATCTTTTATCTTCTAAATGTTTGAAGAAAATAGTATTATAAAAACAAGAAAACAGGAATAATGTCTTATCTATATTGTGCTGAACTGATAGCTGCACCCTCTCTTCTAAATTTGATCTGTTTCTAACTATGTTGGCCTTCTCTTGATTTAGATGTACTAAATGTCAAGTACAGGTTACCAATGCAGGTTCTTCCTGAAATGACTCCTCATGGATTACAGTCTGAATCCTCCTCGTGGGACACCTAACCAAATCTTAATGGAACTTTCTGTTGACATCAAACATGCATGAGAATGCAGCTTTCAACACAGAAAGCCTAACTTTCAGTATACTGGGAACCTCTCACTTCAGCACTAAAAATGACAATCTACACAGTTATGTATGGGAGAGATGAATTCCTTATATTTCCAATATCGCTCCTGGAAAATGACAAAGCGATCAAGGATCTAGACATAAATTATATGAGACAGCATGTGTTAAATTTGAATTACAACTTTTATAATATACATTTTCTACTTCATATACAATTTGGAAATATGTATATCCTTATAATAATGAGTTCATATGTAAGTTATAGCAAAAGATATAGGTGCTACCTCTTCCCTAATCACACAAATACTCACTAAACCATCAAACCTTGCTTGCAAAATTTTAGTATTTTTGCCTGGAATCTCATGAGACCCGTAACAAGTACACTGAAATCTCATGAGAAATTCCATTTATTTTATACACACTTTTTGCTTCAGGCTTCACCTTAGGTGCCAGGGAAACCTCAGCACCCATGACCACAAGTCAACCTTTTTGTTATCAAATAGAAGTTGGTAACAGGTTTAGCCCACATATATACATAAGCAAAATGCTGCTGTATAAAGAGAGGACTGATCAACACACAGTATATTAACATAGTAGGTTGCTAATCTGCATTAGTGATTGAGGCTACAGAATCAAGGGGATACTACTTTGGGATCATTAACTCTGATAGCATGTAGGTGGCTTTATCAGATACTTACCAACCTCTTGTTATCTTGTTTGTAGATGCAAACTGTAGATTCCTTGATCACAAGATGAGTTATTTCAGGAAAGTAAGAAAAACTGTTCCATTCCTCCCTTTTGTTTTTTTCTTCATTTTTCTCCACTTTGTTGTCAGATTTTTTTTTCTTAATTTTTTGTTTTTCCTCTTCACTTTGTATAATCTGGTGAATATTACCATGCACACTCTGAATAATTTGATTTATCGCATGTCCAGTATCTTCTCAAATCTCCCTCCCAATCTCTCTCTCTCTCTCACACACACACACACACACACACACACATACAGACAGACAGATATCACAAGCTTGGATTCAGTTCTTTGTAGTAGCTGTTAGATTCATTATTCATTATCAAAATGCACCTTTCACCACATCAGTAGTATTCAACCTACACAAAGCATTATGAAAAATCCTTCAATGAAGCATAAAGTTGTACCACCATATAAGGAATATTAATAATATTTTTCCTTAATAAATTACCCTTGGCTGCACAAATGTCATTTTGGACTGACAAATTCAATAAGGATGACTAAAATATTTTTATTCCTCCTCAAGATCATGTACGTATTCATGTATGTGTGTTCCCAATTAATAAATACATATGTGTACATTTATGTTAGATTTATCTCCTGCCTTTCCTTCAAGAGCTCAAGACAGCATACATAGTGCTCTCTTTTCCCTACTATAACATTCCTATAAAGTCGGTTAGACCAAGAAAGTGGCTCACTCAAAGACACCCAGTGATATTTTGTGGATGAAGGTGAACTAGAATATGCATCTCTTAGCTTTTAATCCAATACCTTATTCACTACATTACATTGGCGCGCTCCCTCTCTCTCTCTCTCTCTCTCTCTCTTTCACACACACACGCAGACACACATATTTCTTTTATATATCTAACTCTGCACACTCCTTTTTTAAACTTCTGTATTGCAAAAAAATATTTCTGTTACTAAACAATGGATAAATCACCTATCCTGGATATTTTATCGGTCACTACATTCCCCTCATCTTAATTTTTTTTGATAACCAGGTACGATTCCCAAGCAGATTACCACTGAAGGTCAGTTGCAAAAGACAAGTCAGCTCCAGGAACCACACCATATTCTCAGGGACGCCAGGTATGCTCCCACCCTTGCTCTAAGAGTTTCTTTCATTCCACTTAATTCAGCAATATTTTCACAACACTTTCAGCCTGAAACATATCTTCCCCCAAGTAGTTTGCTGTATTCCTGCTCCCAACGTACATTTTGCTGAATTTGAAAGTACCAGATTAAATAGCTACACCCAAGTTGAAACTTCTAGCCTTGACTCCTGCTGGCTTCATGGATGTGTCCATGTAGGTTTTTTGGCAACAATATGGAACTGGTTTCCTGCTGCTGTTTTCCAGGATGTTGTTTACATTGTACCTCTGGAGAGTTCCCTGTCTTTCATATTCTGACCAAAGAAAAACTTTAAAAAAACCAAAACACTACTCTGTTCATTTGACTCTAACTAACCTTGTTAGTAGTCAAAGGACTTGTGATACTCACAAGCGGTTTACGTCGCCATTGGATTCCAAGATTGCCTGTCACCATCACTTCATAACAGGGAATTATTGTTTCAGAAGCATCCAAGTTAAAGTTCTCATTTTCTGATGAAATCAGCAGTGAGGATGTCTCAAATCTTTCAGCTCCATAATGCTTTGTCAATGTCTCCATTGTGGCTAAATATTTCACTTTCAGATCATGAGGAGAAACACTGCTGTCAGAAATGGTCTTGTTGTTAAATTCCTTGAGGAAGTTCTTGAAAACATTTTTAATTCGTATTCTCGTTAAGAAGTTTCTTTGTCTAATTTTCTTGTTCAATGTTTCTGGAATATACTGTCTATAGCTGAAATGAGATAGCACAAAAAAAGTACATATTCATTTTCAATAGCCTGTTATAAATTGCAAGAAGGGATATTTCATTTAAAAAATACACATACACATAGAGACAAAATACATGAAAACAAAAAAACATATTTGAAAACTTAGACTGCGGTGAATATGTGACTCATCTATTATGATTTCTTTCTCTGGCCTACATACAACTTCTCTTACAATATGATTTATAAGTGAGTATTTAATGTCTAGAATTCTAAAACTGGTCAGGGAACATTTTTACAGCCAAAAGGCAGTACTAAATGAACTGGATAACAACATGGTGAAGAACTACAGGCTACATTATTATCTTACTTGCAGCTCCAGCAAAACCAGTATTTACTTTTCAGAAACAGCATCACTTAGCTATCAATTGCAGTTAAAAGTCATTCTGGACAACAGTCTGAATTGCCAACATACTTCTTCCTCTTTTTTTCTCCATAAAGGCACCGAGGCTGAATGAATGCTAGTGACAAGTCATAGCAATGTGCTGGTGAAGTAGGTTAGAAATGCCATGTTTATGTTGTGAGGGGCTGAAGAAAGTTTGGGGGAGTCTTTGGATCCCCTTTGAGCTGTGGGCTGGTACTGCAGAAGTCTGTGGTGGTTGCAGGACAGACTGACAATCAGAGTCTCCAGACTGATCTCCTGGGCTTGGTGCCCTGTGATATATTGAGAATCAGATGGGACTACACAATTAAAGAGGTCATTTGGAGAGACAGTGGAAGAGTGGTAGCAATGCTTGTGTTAGGCTAAGGGCTGGAAATACTGCTAATCAGCTGCTGAAGATCCAGCAGCAGTGGCAATGGAGTTGGTAACATTTCTTAACTAGGTTGTAGCAACAGCTGTGTGTTCAGCAAATGTTGATCTCCCAGCAGAGCAGTAACAGTGATGGGTGATGCCTGACCTTGGTGTTTTGGAAGGTACTAGCATCAAGATGATAGCACTTAGTGGTTGCAGGAATGGGATCACTTATCCTTGAGTGATGAGGTGGACCTGCCAGCAATTAAGGAGGCAGCAGTCGAACTCAACTCAGAAGCAATCACTGAATCTGACGGTGCTGGACAATTTTCATCCTGCCCTCTAACCTTCCTTTTCCTACCTGGTCAGGTTGCAACTTCAAAGAGCTCTGGAAGAAACAGATTATCTGGACTTTTTCATTCAGGTTTCAGACCTAGTTGTAGTACCACAACAGCAATGACTGCACTTGTTGATAAACTCTAGTAGGTGAGGTGGTACATCCATTCTGGCCCTCCTTGATCTTTCAGTGGCCTTTGATACCATTTATCAAGATATCCTTCTGGATGACTTAGGGGATTTGGAGTGGGGGGCATAGTATTGCAGTGATTCTCTTTCTTCCTCCAGGACTGGTTGCAATGGTGGTGGTAGGTATCTAGCCCTAAGCCCCTGCTATATGAAATTCCTCAGAGCTTTACTCACTCCCCACTGCTGCTTAACATATACACGAAGCTGCTGAGTGATGTCAGCATGGGTCAATATGCTGATGATATTCAGCTACACATTTTTACTCATGGCCAACCAAGTTATGCTGTCCAGGTTTTCTCTCAGTGTCTGGAGGCTGTGAGAATCTAGATGGGGAAGAACATGTTTCACTTTAACCCTAGCTGATTGGATGTGGATGTGGGCTTTAGCGGTCCTCAGATCTAGAGACTTTCCATCATTAATTCTGGATGGGTAGCACTCCTTCAGGCAGAATTTGGAGGTCTTCTTTACTCCTACTCAAAGGTGGCAGCCCGGGCCAAGAAGGCTTTCACATAAATCCACCTTGTGTACCAGTTGGACCCCTTGCTGGATTGGGAGCCTCTGCTCACAGTTACTCATACCTTGATCACCTCTCAATTGACTATTACAACATACTCTATATGTGGCTATCCTTGAAGACTATTTGGAAGATACTGTATAACTGTTCTAAAATGCAGTGGTCCAGGTAGTTACAGGTGCACCATGGTACACACATAACTTTATTGCTTAGTAAACTGCACTGGCTCCCAATTGGCTTCCAGGTGCAATACAAGGTTCTGGTTACCACTTATGGCACAGGGCCAGGCTACTTATGGGACAGCCTATCTCTGATTATTTTTTCTCATCTCATAAGAATAGGAATGCTCCTGGTCCCTTCTATTAAAAAAGGTAATCTAATAGGACATAGAAGAAGCACATTCTCTGTTGTGCTGCCCTGTGGAATAGCCTACTCCAAGAGATTAGGATGGCCCCAATTCTGTTGTAAGGTATTGAAAATTTCCCCTTCCCACCTCAGGCATTGGGCCAGGGTGCTAGGTGAGCTAATTTCTAGGAATTATTGGTTTAAATCAGATTGGTCTTGAATGCACTATGTTTTTATTTCAGTTGTTTTTGGTGCTTTTTAAATTTAGTATTAGCTACCAAGAGTTAAATTGTATGAGCAGGGCAGCCATACAAGATAATTGATTAATTAACTGAAGGGAAAAGTGAAAGGGAAATAAAGTCCACCATTATAATAAAACATATATGGAAATTGTTCATCAACACTTGAAGCTTTATGGTCATATACCATGACCATCAAACCATTTATAACACCAGGGCGTTTCATGATTGTTAATAGTGGCATTTCAGCATCTTCTATGTAGAACTAGTTAAGATAATTCTTGCTTGATATGCTAAAGCTTGTGCATGGCATATATAAATACTAAGAACTGGGCATGTGCTTTTCAGCCACAGTTTATATGTCCTCATAGGACAGGGATCTGGACTGGATATGGTCACTTCCTCACTAGCTTGAGCAATCCCAGATGCCAAGACATCATTTTTCTGTGCTGAGAGCCAACATTCTCTGTATTGCCTTGCACAGAGTTTTTTTATCCACAAACAAGGCCATTTGTGCATAACAAAGTGTGGAATCAATCAGTTCAGCCTCACGTTGAACACAGTTCGGCCTCATGTTTCCTACACCAACTGGTCAGAAGAAATAAGCTTATTTGGAACAACACTCAAATAGTTCAGACTCACCTGATATCTTGGGGAAGTTCTTTTAACCCCAGTTTTTTTTTAATTAAATAGTGAGATATTGCAAGTACAGCCATACCCAAACATTCATTTTCAATTTCATGTGATTCTTGATCGTTTTTAGCTTCCCGAAGAGGCGCAAGACCTTTTACCAAGTCATTCTGACCCTATATTGGACAGTGAGATAAATCTATTTTAGCAATAAACACAGTTATTTCACTTCATTCACCAAATACCCAAGAAACAGAGCCTTCCATATAAAAGTCAGTTGATATATTAAACAACAGAAGAGTATTGCTTCTTCCTCCCCCAAACACGTAACATAAATTGAGACAATAAAGTCACATACGTACCACAGAATAATATCTCAGTGAAGAGGTATTATTCAAGAGAGTTTTAAACCCTAATGCATTTTTGCTTTCTATCTTGTTATGGACTGCCTTTCTGCAAATACGCAGACTTTACTAAAATAAAGCAATAGAAAAACAACATTGCTAAACATTTGGGGCAACATTCAACATGTCTTTCTTTCATAAATATAGATCTTCGGTTAGAGTTTATGCATATATTCAGTTAGAGTTTATATATATCAATAATCATGATCATACCTATTCCATCTCGGAGAAATAACAGTGCTTTCTAAAGATAATGAAATGTAAGTACTACTATAATACTCTACATAAAATGAGTTAGAATTCCCTTACAAATTACTTGCCTGGGCAAAGAGATACTCTAATGAATTTGCATCAAGGAGTGGTGTTCCATCTGGTACTGATCTGGTTTCATAAGAATTCTTCTTCTTTGGAGAATGCCTCCAGACAGATGGCTCATTTTCATTTGTTCCATGCCAATTAGTAAAGTAAAACCTTGAGCAAATAATTATAAGGATTTAAATTAAACTCTTAGGTATTATATGCATAATTGAACTTTACATAACTAGATAATAGGAAACCAGGAATACCAGCAATTTTTCAAACATGTAATTTATAAAGAGCTGATAACTTTTTTCAGGGCTATCCAGTCATATCCGCTAATAATAGCAAGCCCAAGGACAATGGGTCCTTACAGGGTCCTTTCAGGCCTCACAACCATAGCATTCTTGTCTAGTTAACAAAATGCGATGCACAGCCTTTCTAACACAGGATTTCCCATTTGATACTAGTCCTTTCCAGCAACGGCTTCCCTGAGATATTTCTGATCAGAATAAAAGCCACACAAGGATTAATTTGACAGTAAATATATATATATTCAAAAATAGATCTTGTTCAGCACATATTTAGTCTTTCAAACTCAATGGGATTTGAAAGTTTTAACATTTTGTCTGGACTGTACTAAAGTACCACTTCTTATCACATTTCTTTCCAGGTACCTGCCAATTCTGCAAAGAAAAGCAGTTAAAAAAAAAAACCTGAACAGGTTAGGATTTCATTGGTGATGTACTGCTGGAGGAAGAAAATCTACCCAGACCTATTATTTTCAAAGGCTTAAACCATCTAATACCTATCAGTGGGCATAACCTGATATTGAATCAATTTGAAAACAATGGCAAGGTATCCTTCTGCTAATCTTCCTGCCTGATGTATGGGATCTATTTAAACTCAGTTGTCCAAATGTTTTTGTAAATGACTCTTATTTTGGGAGCTTTCTGAGCAGGCACCCTAAATATATTATAACAACTCTCAACTCTGCTTCTTTATAGGCTTTAAAGGCTTAAGTATATTTACTTTTTCCTTTCAAAAATCTATGCTTGATTGAATACTTATGATAGTTTGAATGACTAATTGATCCAATAATTATAAGGTTCACTTGCTGTAGATATTTACTGAAACTCAAATTGCTTATGTTTTTCAAGGACAGTTTAATAGCCAATATAGCATAGCTGAGCTTGGCTCAGAATATTAAATACAGATTATTCAGGAAGTCCTCATATCTTTTACTGGAACAATATTTCTACAAATGCAATAAAATGCTATTAGGAAAGTAATAAAAGCCTATTTAAATAAACAAGTGCTATCGTTCTTTCTGCATGGAGTTAAACAGAGCAACTGCAGCATAATGAGAGAGATGTGAACACACATACATACATACCAATCATGCTGTTTCCTTTTGGGTTAAGTAACATTATACAGAACAAAGGAAAGGAGTAAGAAACAGTAAACCAAAGAAATTAAAGGCACAACAAAAAAATTAAGTCTATACCAACACCATTTCCTATATTTCTCCATATCTTTCTATTCTTGCAAACCCTCCTTAGTTCTCTCATGTCCATGTACTACTTCATACATTGCTTTTTATTCTTTAAGCTTCTCACCTCTGAGGATCTCATCAGTTCCATTCAATAAGGACCTTCTTGGTCTTCCCCTTCTCCTTGACTCTTCGTCATGTGTTTTGCAATTTGATCATTCATTTTCTCCCTATGACCAACCCTTTAGTGTACTTCTTTGTACTCGCCCCTCACTTTTGCATTATACTTACATCCATTCAGTACTCATTCATTCTTGGTCCTCTTTCTTCTTGTTTTACCTTACCATCTGTCCTGGAAGTCATGTAAAACCCTGAATATGTGGCTGTGACATAATGTAACACCTATATTTCTCTGCTTTGAGAGCTTAAAGGTAGACTGTATATTTGAATAGCTTCTATGTATCCCTTCCTGAAACTGCTGAGGGCCAGGGCCCAGATAGCTCCTAACACTAATTAAGTGTATATAGTTATCTAAAGTGCAAAGATGAGTTAAATTCTTGGTAGAGGGTTTGAACCCCATAGAATAACATCTAGCTATGTATGTCTGAAGACTCTAAATAAGGATGAAAATGATCATGTACTGCCTCCTAGTGGTTATCTGTAAGTAACCCATTCCCACTGCAGTCAATTTACTTTTGTTTCTCCTGTATAAGTGGGCAAAAGCACATTTTTATATTCAACCATTTTTTATTCTTCCAACACTCATTCTTCATAAGACACCACATTATTACTCACTACCTTTCTATCAGCATTAGCACATCTTAAACTTCTCTATCCATCTTCCTACCTTCAGTAAATATCCTCTACTTGCTCTTGCTGTATAACACTTATAGTAATTTGTAATTGTTCACTCCATTTTTCCTGTCTAACATGAGTACCTCACAAGAAGGAAAGATGGACTATGAAAAGATCTCAGTCCCAACAGAAACACCATAGTAAACACCAAACATAATAAAGGTATCTGTTGAAGTTGTTGTTTCATATGTCAACACTAACTGGATGAATAAAACAATAAAGTGAAACTAAGTTATGAGTATCTTAGTCTTCGATTTATTCATTTTCAGTTCTATACTCCTTATTGCATTTTACAACCTAAGGGCAGCTGCAAATCATTTGGATTCTTAGCCAATATTACAGCATCACTGCATAAAATGTACATGTATATCCATGTACCCAACCAACATTCCTCTACCATCACCAAAAGCATTTTATATACATTTATCAATAAATATACAAAATAACCAAGATGATCCATGTCTTACTCCCTATCCAACGTTAAACCATTTATTAAACATTCCATTCTCATGCATGTTTTTCTTCTAACATATACTGCTCTTACTGCATTGAGCAACCAGCCCTCAACTCCAAAGCATTCCATAATTTAAACTGATTGCCTTTATCATACATTTTCTATAAGTTAACAAATGTATGAATGTGAGGAAGACAAATTATTTCACATTTCTTAAGGATCTGGTAAAGAGCAAAAATCTGGCCTGTACTTCCCCTGCCCAGCAAAAAGCATCACTGCACTTTCATTTCATTTCATTCATGGCGTTTCTTAAATTTCACCCACTGTCACCTCTTGTACACTTTCTATTAGAATTCTTCCAAACCCACTTTCCCAGGCACACTTAAGTAATCCTCCTGTAGCTTTTCTTGCTATCTTTCTCTTTATACAAGGGAACAATGGCATTCTTCCAATCATCAGGCATAGATGCAGTCTTCAAAAACATTAAACAAGTCAGATAGCCGTTCTGAAAACAAACCACATCCATATTTTTATATTCCTCCAGTCACTCCATCTATACTGACAGTTTTACTGGTTTTCAATATTCTCACAGGATTTATTATTTCTTTTTCATCCTTTTTTTCTTGGAAACAATTGTAATATTTATTTCAATTCTACTCTTCAACATACCACTATCAGTCCCATACAAATTGTGATATATTCCTTCCAGCATTTTTTGACTTCAATTTAATCCCAAATCATTTAATCACTTCCATTTTTAATTTCATTTACTCTACTAGAGGCTCCTGGTTTAACCCTCTTCACCCACTTTCCCAACTCACCCGCATTTTCTCTTTTTTATTCTTTACAACCCAAAGGCCTTTATGTTTTCTCTAACGTTTTAATCTTAACCGTTCCCTTGCTCTCTTTGATTGTATTCTTTGCTGTTATATTTTTCTCACCATATCATACCTTTTTCTCCCTCTCATTTTTTGCATCACTCTCTTTTATTCTATTCATGCAAGCTACCATCTCTAATCTGGAGATTACCTGTGAGCCAACATGTTGCCCACATCTCACCAAACATATGTTCAGTATTCAAAGAAGTTTTAAGCAACCTTCTTAATATTTCAAAAATTCCCTTTCAATTCTCCTGTATAGACAGTGATTGTAAAGAATTAGTCATATACTTAGCTATCATTTCTATATTAATTTAATTATTCTAGAATTGTCCAGTTTATTTATTTATATTTATTTATTTAGTAGATTTATATGGCTGCCCATCACAAACACATGACTCTGGGCAGCTAACAATATTAAAAATGATAAACACATACAGAAAACATAAAACCCACAGTAGCCAAAAAAATTTATAAAAACCACAATCAAATATTCAACGCAACCAAGAAGGAATCTGCATACCACACCTGGGGCCCCAGGCTTGAGCACAGAGCCACGTCTACGGAAGGCCAACAGGGTTAGGGTTAATCTCTGGAGGGATGACATTCCAGAGGACAGGTGCCATGACAGAAGGGGTTCTCCTCCTGAGCCCCACCAGCCCACACTCCCTAGCTGATGATACCTGGAGCATGCCCCTCCTGCTGGATTGGATGGGGCAATAGAAATAACTGGGGAGTTTATTCAGTTTAGACCTGCTGTTCCTCTAATCTGTGTCAAGAAGAAGAAAACTGCAATCTTTCAAAGCCACTTTAATATGATATACTTTTTAGCAGTGGTTTCTTGGCAACAATGTGAAGACTGGAAGTATTTTAAAATCAAGTGAATTAAATACTAAATGCAGAAGCAGGCCACACTTCTTCACAAAGTTACAATCACACCAATTGTATTAGAGACGATCATAGTTACCTCATGCGATAATAAACACGAAGTGAAGTTTTGTCATCAATACAGAAGACATGATTTGGTGCATACCAAAGCTTTCTACTTTCATCAAAGAGGGCAAACAAATTGTGGCACAAAGGAGAAATAGCTGGCAAAAGAAATAAATAAAAAAAGAAGCCATTAGCTCAGTGAATATTTTAAAGAATATAAAATATGCATTTATGCAAGTCTTACAATAACAATATACTGTTAAAATTATTTTGTGCCTTCGATTATACAGTAGCTACATTTTAATATAAAAATGTTCAATAAAGATTATAGCTGTTATTGTTTGTCTTTATTCAATTAGACCATAAAGCAGAAACACAGTTTTGGCAATATTTATCATAAGATTATATGTGATAAAATGGTAGCTTATTTGTGTCTACTACAGCAACTACAGGGTTAACTGGGGACTTCCTTATAAGGAATGTGGGACACAGGTCAGAAGAATCTGGAGAGGGAAGAGGCAACTGGCACAGTGAACAAAAAAGAACAGAGATGAAAAGGAGCCAATCAGTGTATACAGCAGAAAAGGAAAGAGAAACATTGGTGGAGCTTATAATACAATAATCCCTCCCCTCAATGGCTAACATACTGCACTACCCATAAAAAAATGGATAAGAGAGAAAATACCCTGACTATAAGAACTCTAAAGCTAAGCACTTTGGATGGGGCAGTGAGATTTTGAATATATATATATTCAATCTCTCCCTGCCCCCCAAATTAATTATTGCATTTCTGCCTCAATAAATGCACGTTTGCCACAAAGCATCAGAACAACTTTTGCATGTGAGTTACAGTCAGTACTGCAGTTTGGCAACAATCCACAGTACACATACTATACTGTGCAAAGGTTTTAGGCAAATATGAAAAAATGCTGTCAAGTAAGAATGCTTTCAAAAATATATATTGTAATTGTTTATGTT